TGTAACACTTCTGATTACTACGGCAGACAGTGGCCAATCAACTTGTTTACGTGCTTGACATATATTCATGCATTATATCACCTGTAAAATATATATTCCTCTACACCTGACCAATTTCGTGTGGTCATGCTTCTCTTTTCCCTTGGTCCGGCATGGCCAGGTGGTTAGGGCACTGGACTCGCAATCTGCGGGTAGCGGGTTCGAATCCCCGTCACACCAAACATGCTCGCCCTTTGAGCCGTGGGGGCGTTATATGTGACGGTCAATCCCACTATTCGTTGGTAAAAGAGTAGCCCAAGAGTTGGCGGTGGGTGGTGATGACTAGCTGCCTTCCCTCTAGTCTTACACTGCTAAATTAGGGACGGCTAGCGCAGATAGCCCTCGTGTAGCTTTGCGCGAAATTCATAACAAACAAACTCTTTTTCCTCTTTCAGAAAACTGAAGTACGTGTCAAACCTTTCGGCACAACCTCATTTCTTTCCTACCACCCGGTTGTCCGTAGACAGTGCTCAGCTCCTCTAGGAAGAATTGAGGGTGTTGCGACTGCAACTATATCTTTGATGCTAGCTTTTGTCAACGCTTTCACTCTCTTTCTCTAGGGATTTCCAGTTTTGTGTTGGGAATTACAAAGTTTTCTTCAGTGAATCTTATTTTAGTATACATTTAATTTTCGTTCCTTAATATTGTATCTTGCAATGAAACAATGTTAAGAAAATACTCAGTAACTGTTTGCTTATAAAAAATACATTTTAACCTGCATGATTGAAAATATTCCTCTCACAACTAAATATACTGGATATACCACATGTATATATTTGCTATGATATCTAAGCCATTGTCTCTGTATTTCGCTTAACACTGATAATTTCACCTGCTCGTGAATATTTCAACTCGAGACATTTGAAATATCTTCTGCACTACTCTTTCCGAGAAACCATAGGTGAAATTCTGTTTTCCTTTCTCTCAGTTGTTGTGTGATCTTCATTTTGTTAATCTCATCTCTTCTCTGAAATCTCACTACCTGTAGAATATTTCAGTGTTAAAATTGAAAGATTATCTTTCTAGTATTAATGAAAGTAACAGATACACCACATTTTCCAATAATACCTTCCATGTCAATTATTGTAGTTACCTTCATATTTATCGATTCTTACAGTTGAGATGGAATCCTTTGTTTCCATACTCTTTTAATTTTCTTGTTTTACACCATTCTCTTGTGGCTCAAACATTCTGCATAGTTTCCAGGTAATTAGGTCAAAACATCTAGTGAGAACAGGGAAGCATGTTCCATAGAGTTCTCACCACTCAGCTAGATTATGGTAGCGATTCTCTCAGAACATCACATGACATTTTGCAACAAAATATTTACTCAGTAGCTAAGAAAGCAAAGGTTCATAATACCCTTTTAATCACTGATTTTTTAATCAAATGGCTGTTTAAATTTGTAAGCAAGTAGAAATTACAAAAAGGTAGTGCATATATTATATAGTGTATCACTTAATATATTGGAAAGGAAGGAGTGTTCCTTCTTTTCAGTCTGTGATTGTGCAGATCACGGACTGTCCTAAATGTTGATGCTAGAGCAGATATAATCAGATATCCTGTAGATATCTCACATAGTTAAACTCTGCTCAATAACTCAGAAAACAAGGAATGCTACTTCCTTTCGATCATTGGTTGCTCAACCTAAAGATTATCTTACTCTTCAGTGGATGTTTATTGTCTCCCATTCTCCGCTGCTGAAAAAAAACCAGCTGGAATTGGTGGAGGTAGTCTACTGGTGGCACATTTATTCCTTTTTTTTCGGCTGATCATTTGTGGTCTGCACCAGAGTTGGGGTTCCCTAAGTGGTCTCGAACTCGACAGGTGCCAATTCACGTTGAAGACCCTCGATTGTCTCCATTTACCTGAAGTAATCCCCCTTGGTTGTTGTAATTATTTCTACATCTAGAACAAACCATTATTTCGGTCAACTCTTATAAGCCAATAGATTAAACAAGGGTTAGTATGCACATTGACAAAAACAGAAACCAGCACATGTGATAATGGCACTAAAATATTTCCTTCTTTATTTCCTCTTTTGATATTCTCAGGTGAACTGATTTCCCAAGAAAAATAAGATATAACTGTTAAAAACAAGATGATCTAACAACAATTTCCCGAGTTATCTAATTCTGCAGACTCGACTGAGGTTTTAAGTTGCATAATGTATAAACAGCTTGAATACGTTTTATTGGCAGTGAAAACAATCTTTATGAGAAACACAACGAACAACAAGTGTCAGTTTCTTTGTCTTGTTGGAGTTACTACGTGGTCTATTACTCTCTCTGAACATTTGCAGTCTTATACAATCTAAGGTCTGCTCAGCCAATGAAATGATGTGTCTTTCTTTTCGTCAACACGGAAAATAACACTTTATCCGAAAAATGGAGAGCGAGACTATGTCACACTTGAACGGAGAAATTCCAAAGGTTCTGGAACAAATGTTCTTATGCCAAAGCCTGCATAGAAGGAAACTACATGTAAATTTCAGAAAGTTCCATATTACTAAAAATGGTGAAAAGTACATGATACGAAGAACACATGATATACACAAATATCATTTTTAATATACAATTATTTCACTATAAATAACTTCTAACTGAAGCAAGCTGTCAACACAGATCAAAAGGTAAAATTAACCCAGTAAATAATCTAGTTAATTTAGTATACCGATCTAACTAAGAGTATGCTAAGCTCTAAAACAAAAACCTATAATGGTCATAATTCATTGATTTGTAAGTTAGCTATTAAAACAGTATTAAAAATCAGTTGTTGAATATTGTTATTACTATTTTATAGATTAAAATATTGAAGACTACCGTTTTCTAAAGTTTAGTTGTTTCAAACTGAAAAAAAAACCCGGTAAAATATAGACATTGTTATAAATTTTCTTCAAATTAATGCACACACACACACACACATATATATATTACATTGTTACTAATTTATACAGGGTATAATACAAAAAACAGTTATCCAATGTACTGTTGATCTCATATTTGATAATACACCTCTCAAATTTTAGATATAGGTTTACTTTGCTTTCCAGTTTCTTATAGCTTTGTGAGATGTATCGTTTATTGTTGCATCTCAGACCAAAATGTATCCTTCAACTTAAATATGATTTTGTATAGCTGACTGTATGGTAGATGGAATTGTTTGTAAAGATAATTTTGGTAAAAGGTACATATAACATTTGTTTCTTATTACTGTTTTTTCTTCATGGGATATCTGTGCTCTGCCCACCACTGGTACCGAAACCCGGTTTCTAGCGTTGTAAGTCCGCAGACATACCGCTGTGCTACTGGAGGCTTCTCCATCGGTCACAGAAATTTAGATGTTATTTTTCACCTCTCGTTCTTTCCTGACATGACAATGAACAGATGCATTGTTTTAGATTCTGAAATTTTACTTATTTTACGTAAAAATGAACTGCATATTACCTTTTTTTGTAAAATATTTACCAAATTACCGTTACTCGTTTTGTAAACTGATTGACTTTTTGTGAATCGGAGACCTTCGGTACTGTTAATAATTAGGTGAATCAACATTCCATTGATTGTAACATAACACGACATATTTTACTATTGCTTTTCATTCAGTACTGTTAATAATTAGGCTAATCAACATTCCATTGATTGTTACATAACACGACATATTTTACTATTGCTTTTCATTCAGTAGTGTTAATAATTAGGTGAATCAACATTCCATTGATTGTAACATAACACGACATATTTTACTATTGCTTTTCATTCAATACTGTTAATAATTAGGGGAATCAACATTCCATTGATTGTAACATAACACGACATATTTTACTATTGCTTTTCATTCAGTAGTGTTAATAATTAGGTGAATCAACATTCCATTGATTGTAACATAACACGACATATTTTACTATTGCTTTTCATTCAGTACTGTTAATAATTAGGAGTTAACATTTACTTGATTGTAACATAACACGACATAGTCATGTTATCGATGCAACGCCATTTATGATACTCAATTATGCTATCAGCTTTAAGATCGTGTTCCAGAATAGCTTGGTTCTTAGGGAGCTTGACTTGCATTTTACAGGTCACGAGTTTGAATCCCGTCACTGAACACTCTCGCATTTCAGCCATGGGGGTATTATTATTATAATATTACGGTCAATCCAACTTTTCGTTGGTAAAAGAGTAGTCCAAGAGATCGCGGTGGGTGGTGTTGACTCTCTGCCTTCCCTCTAACATATCACTTCTAAATTAGAGATGGAGTAGCCTTGTGTGAAATTTCAAAAACAAAACAAGTATGTTTCAGATAACAACTTTTCACGCCTCCAACCCAATACTTGTCTATGTTTACGAACCCGCAGGTACAACAGTTGATTGGCTAATATTGTTTTAAAGATAACATAGATGTATATATTTTCTCAGCATTTCTCATAAAAGAAAATTTCTTAAGTAACTATAGAAATATTTTTCAAAAATAGCACGAAATTCTAAACAAAAAATAATGATTATCAATAATTGTGATATTTAGTATTTATAGACGATGTATGATATTATAAATGTGACTGAAACATAAGATTTAGAAGCAAAAAAAAAACTTCTGAAAAACTCAACGTCCCTAATTTAGAGTGAAAGCAGCTAGTCATCACCACCCACCGCCAGCTAGTGGGTTACTTTTTTACTGAAAGGGTAAGTATGTTTGGGGGGATGGGATTCGAACCCGCGACCTTCAGATCGCAAGTCAAGCGCCTAAACCACCTGGCCATGCTGGGCCGTGGGAAAACCGACCTCTTATGGAAATATTCAGCTCAGTGTTATTTTGTTGAATGGTAATTAAAATATATGGGTGTGAGTTTTATTTTTCTAAACAAAAATTATCTCTGATATTTAAATAAAGAAATTTTAATGTTCAATTTTAATATTTTTGTTTTCTAGCATAAAATTATATGATTTTTTTCTCTGCAGGTGCTTTTCTCGTACCATACTTGTTAACCTTGTTTCTGGCTGGAATACCAACGTTTTTCCTGGAAACTTCTTTAGGTCAGTTTTTAAGTATCGGTGGACTGGGAGTATGGAAAATTTGTCCCATTTTCAAAGGTATGTTTCTCTTTAAATTGCTGAAAATAGTTTAATATAACAAATACGGAACAATTATAAAGAAACCTTCTCTATTTGAAGTGATTGTATTTTTAAAATGTCTTAATTTCACCGGAGGAACCCTAAGAACCGTAAGTTATATTTAGGGTGTTTCAAAAAATGGCAAATAAGCTGCTCAGTATACTTTCCGTCATTCTCAGTTAGCATATGGAGCCTATCTCTGAAGGATTTATTTGTTTTTTCGGTCTCGGACAAAGGTACATAAGGGTTACCGTCCCTAATTTTGAGCGGCTAAACTAGAAGACACATCTAATCAACTGCACCCACCACTAACTCTTGGGCTACTCTAATAGGAAAGGGATTTGACTGCCACTCTTATGATGCACCTTCAGCCCCATAATATGGAGCACGACTTTTTGGAAGTGGGATGCGAACTTTGGATTCTCTGATTTACAGTCCGGCATGTTAACCACTTGGGTACGACCGGCCTATCCCCAAATGAAGCTACTGGAAACAGCCTTTGTCATGGGCAGTGTTCAATGTTCCTCATAATCTAATTTCTAATGACCTGTTTCAGATCCTTAAAATTTCGTGGTTTATTCTAAAAAGCATTTCACTTGAGGAAACTGCAGAGCCATAAATCTGCTAGTAAAATTCCGGAGGATCTCTTCGGCCATTTTTGCTTCAATGCAGGGCTTACAATTTTTGACCGTAATGAAAGCTCCTTTCAGAAGCCTTTCTCGGGAAGATAGTTATGAGGTGTTACCCCCAATTCTTCGCTCTTTGTGGTATTTCTCAGTTTTTCATAAGGAACTTTATTTATCGGAGCAGTTTGGATACGGTCATTTTCATCAGCGACTTTTATTGACCTGTGTTTCGATTTCATAGACGTAGATGACAGTATTTATAGATCTGACCTATCTATTTAAATGAAAGTGGGCTTCGTCTGTCAAATATGCTTTTTAGACGCGTTTCATCGATTACTAACCTAGCCAAAGCCCAATGTGTAAATCCGAGTCGCAGTGGTAGATCACCATCCTTAACGACATTACAATGTATAAACTAATAATCTTTGAGCCGTAATGTTTTTTATTACTTCACACAGTTTTGGCATATCATGCTATCAAACAGCACATCTTCCACTTTTTTTTTGTCGCAGTGGTAGATCACCATCCTTAACGACATTACAATGTATAAACTAATAATCTTTGAGCCGTAATGTTTTTTATTACTTCACACAGTTTTGGCATATCATGCTATCAAACAGCACATCTTCCACTTTTTTTTATCTTAAAAGGATACTTCTCAGCTTTCTTTTGGATATTTTGAGCGACCTCCAATTTGTTTCCACAGATGTAGTTAGTCGCTCAGAACTAGGATCCAGTTGTCTCGAAATGACGAATTAATTTTTTAACACCTCAAATGTACTTCTAAGGAAATAGGCGTCCATTGCTTTTCTGGAATTGCCTTTTGACCAAAGTAAAATATATTACTTTGATAGATTAAGTAGAACGACAGTCGCATGATTTGGCACACTGACACATTTCATTCAAATCACCAATTATTTGATTTTGAGAAGAGGGGGGGGGGAATAAGACGAAAACAATGCTACTTTGGAAGAAAAATAATTTGAATATGCAGTCTAATACCGTTTTGAAACATCCTGCGTCGTGTTTGAATTTTCTTTAATAAAACTTGTTTGTTTGTTTGGTTTTATGCACAAAGCTACACAATGGGCTATCTGTGCTCTGCCCACCACGTGTATCGAAACCCGGTTTCTAGCGCTGTAATTCCGCAGACATACCGCTGCGCCACTGGGGGGGGGGGGACATTGTTTGTTGATAATCACAAAGCTACACAATGAACTATCTGCGTTGTGAATGATAAGCCCTTTGATTTACCACTGATATACCGGATATACTGATATACTTCTGATTCTCAACGAGCTTCTGACGGTATTCTGTTTACTAAAACAAATTGACTTTAAATTATTAACATTTTAAATATGGAGTTTTATCCACAACCATCTTGCATTAATCGAGTAAATATGACTTAAGTAACGGTAAATTATACAACTCAGAAATTTCTCTAAAAGTTACAGAAATTAAATGGAATGGACTACCACATATTTGAAATTCAAATTAAAACATTCATTCAGAGATTCTTATCAATAATAGCTTTCTTAAAAAAGTTATTTTTAACTTTATAGTCGAAAAGATGAGTGTATGAGGAAGGAGTGGGATGAGTTAGGAAAACTAGTACTTAACTAGCAGTGAAAAGGAGAGAGAGAGATGAAGGTGGGAGAATCAAAAATTAGATTCGAACATTTTTCTATTTATCAACAAGTAAGAGCAAATGGTTTAGGTATAAAATAAGTAAGCTATTTGATTATATATTTTAGAATTTAACTAGCTTTTGTATTCTATCTAGGTGTGGGATACGCCGCAGCCGTGATGGCCTTTTGGCTTAATGCTTATTACATTGTAGTGCTGGCTTGGGCCATCTACTATGTAGTGTCCTCTCTCGATTGGGATGTCCCTTGGCGGACGTGTAACAATTGGTGGAACTCCATCTTCTGCTTGTCAGAGTACGATGTTGTGCAGCCCAACTGTACAGGTAATGCTGATCAGGACTCTGCCTTGTGTGCCTACAACCTATCCACTCCTAATCTCTTCAAAAGTCCCGTCAATGAGTTTTGGGAGTAAGTATGAAATCCGAGGCCTTTAAAAAGGGTTATTGTTATGTACAATGACCGCACACAAAACAAAGGTTACTTAATTGATAGAAAAATATAGCTTAGTATTTCTCGCTATAAGTTCTTAGTTGATGGGAAGTTTTATTTTGTATTCGTGAAGTTTAATATACCAATGGTTAGTAATTCACAATCAACTCGTGAACCATCGTAGACTGATTCAGATATGTTCAAAGGTGAACATTGCTCTAATATGTTACAATGTAGTGGCCAGGTGGTTAGGGCGCTTGACTCGCAATCTGCGGGTTTGAATCCCAGTCGCACCAAACATGCTCGCCCTTTCAGTCGTGGAGGCGTTATAATGTGACGGTCAATCCCACTATTTGTTGGTAAAAGAGGAGCCCAAGAGATGGCGGTGGGTGGGGATGACTAGCTGTCTTCCCTCTAGTCTTACACTACTAAATTAGGGACGGCTAGCGCAGATAGCCCTCGTGTAGCTTTGCACGAAATTCATAACAAACCAAACTAGTTTAAGAAGCGAACAAAATTTCTTGTCTAAATCATAGCCAACGATGTTTCCAATTAAGATGAAGCATCCCCTACGTAATTAAACGTGTATGTGTAAACTAGCTTGGTTGGGGGGGGGGGTTCAATTATAGCAATAGTACTGCCAGTCAATGAAATTGTAATTTACAAAATAACAAAATTATTTGAGTGTATCTTATAAAGGATAAACATTCCGAATGCTACTTAACGAGCAGTATATTCTTCAGATACGCCCAAAATAATTTCTATGACTCCAGGAAGATATTTTTAACGCCTCTTTCATTCTTTGAAATATATATACAATTTAAATACATTTGGAGGGCAAAACAGTATTTAAATATAGGTATACTCATAAAATGTGTTTTGCAGTAAGACTGCATTGTAATAAGATGTGTCGCTATAAGAGTTTGATATAGATATTAGAGAAAATACGCCAAACCAAATATTTATAGCATAAACTCTACATTCATTATGGCAAACCCTTTTACAGTAAGAATACTTTTAAGACAGGACGGACATAAGTGGTAAAATAATAATTAAAAAGGAGTATATAGTATAAGATTCAATTTGGTTTCAAATAGAATGTAATATGTTGGGCTGAACACCCTCACACATATACCGTTAGTACGATGTGTGATGGGATTGTAAGCCTTTACGCATGTACAGTTAACGTAAAAAAATAAAATATCATCTTTATTTAGTGACTTCTGTAAACACTCGGGAAAGCTTACTTAATCTTCGTTACCATTCCCACGCATTTTTCTTGTTACTTGCGTCCTGGGAAGATCTTACTTGTTTTGACCCCCAGTTCGTGTTGGAACTTTGATAAAGGCTTGAGCTCCAGCTGACTGTGTGTGGCATAAGAAATCTGACTCTTATATCCAGATGTGCTGCCTTCTTGTACCATTATTAATACAAATCTTTAAAATGTTCTACATAATGTTTAAAATACAAACTTTTACTGATGATGATGTTCACTCGGACGCACCCTCAATTAAAATCATCCCATATTACATTATTATATTTGGCTTCGGTTACTTTTAGGCTAACGTTTCTACTCCAAGTTAATGTCAAAGTGAATCGAAAGAGTAGCGTATTATTCGGTGATGTGAGCTATTCTTCAGAAAGTATTTGAAGAGAACGTGATTAAAGTTCATAATAAAACAATTACACATATCATGTACGATACCGGTTTAAGAATGTGTGTTGGAAATAAAATATAAAGAGATTGTAATATCAAAGTGTCTTAAACATTTCGTTCGTACTTATCAATAATACCAGAAATGTTTGTTATTCCAATGTTACGGCTCGTGATAATAACCTTGACTCCTGATCTTCAGTCTTTCGAACAGATTATTTTAATAATAAAAAAAAAGACAAAGTGATTTATTTCATCCACATGCACACGTAGAACGTCTGGACTGGGGATATGGGTCCTAAGCTAATGGCCTTGATTTAGATCTAGTCAGGAGTGCCACTATGAAACATATCAGCACTGTGAAACCCAAGACGTTTTCTGTTTTAATGTATACACACACACACTCTCACAGACGTGCTTTCTGTATATAGATTGTAATAGTGCACGTTATTACCTTATTACATTATACTGTATTTTCGAATTATTCTTTGCCTTAGAAGGTATCGACAATTTATCCTAAATTGATCATATTGAGAGTTTATATAAGTCAGTTGTCACTGCTATACATTCAAACATGTTAACTAGCATTCCAATTATATCTTATGTCAAACTATTTAAAGCTGCACAGTTAAAGTCGAGAAATCGGTTTTTATTGATCAGTCACCATTGTTCGTATTTGCTTAAACTGTGTCACACTTATCTTTGGGATCAGTGATAGAACATCAGTGTAATTCTACAAGTAAGCGGGCAATGTGTTTTTGCTTATTAAGTTTAGTCATTTTGTAACATCCATTTGTTTATGCTTCTGGATGTGCAGTATTACAAACACATTAATGTTTGTAAATATATTGGTGTTTTATGTATCGGTAAACTTTCTGGACCATAACAGCAAACATCTGATGGTTTAATGTTTTCTATAAATAATAACCTTTATGTTTTTCTTCGTTGCTGTTTCCATTTTAGTTGAATCTTACTAGTCGATCACTTTTTATTGTTTACTTGGTATATAAAGTCATGACTAATCTGAATTTTCTCAGTTAGTCTAATCTCGTGAGGTATCAATAGGTCTTCAGCCAAAAGCTGCATAACCTATTACTTACTGTATTCTCTTCATTATGGGTTTGAGTTTTAGCTGTATTTTTAGTCAGTGTATTATATAGGATAATCCACGTTATTGTTTGTTACTTTAAATCATTGTAGCTCTGACCTATGTTTGTTTTCTTAAGAACTAAACTGCACAATTGGTTATCTGTGATGTGCCCAGCGTAGAAATTGAACCTTGAATTTTAGCGTTTTAAGTCCTCGCGCTTACAGCTGAGCCACGAGGAGACTGATCTATATAGTTAACTTTGTTGGAGAACTAGCACAAAGGGTCACCAAAACGACCCACAAACTAGCGTCTTCGAATATTTGACTATTATTCTTGAGGAGTAAAAAGAGTAAACGTTAAAGAGTGTGGCGGAAAACATTTGAAAAATAAAAAGATGTTCCCGTTTAGTGAGCTGGAAGTGTTTGTCAAAGCTGATCAATCCCAATTGAAGAAGAGTGTGTCGTTAGGCAACAGATGTCGGTATTAGTCGGTTTTTATAGCTACCTTGACGTGTAAATCTTTTTCATATTTATTATTTCATACTCTTTTTATTCCTGAATATTCAACTATTTAAAAGTCTTTGAGTTCGTGGGTCTTTGGATCTAATATACAGTTAATCTGTTACTGATAAATAAATCCCTAATAATGGACTGTCTTGTACATGCATATACTTACAGTGTAGAGTAAACAAACATTCATTGAACCAAATCAATTTTTTCATCAACGGCCCTTTAATGCTGCTCTTAGTTTCATTACTTTCGTCTAAGCAGCCCCCCCACACCCCCCACTGGCACAGTGGTATGTCTGCGGACTTATACCGCTAGAAACCGGGCTTAGAAATCTGTGATGGGAAGAGCACAGATAGCTCTTTATGTAGCTTTGTGCTTAATCACAACTAACAACAATCGCCTAAACAAAATGTATGCATAATTGTAGTTACTAGTTTAAATACAACATATTTTGCAATCGCTGCATGTTGACTAAAGAATGAAATTCTTCTGAAGTACCATGTTTTTAAGAAAATGTCGTCTTTTCGAATTGTTCTCGAACTTTCTTGGATTAAGGCTTCCATGACATTAAGTGTCCTGACGTCAGCCCAATGAATCTATAGACAGTGAGTAACTTACTTTCGTTTAGGTTACTGTTGCTTATTTTGTTCTTCTTCTTGCAATCACTTACATTGCTGTTATCAAGTTTACATACTGTTAGCGGGAACACAGGGTCATTTGGGAAAAAAAAAGTGTATGTGTTGCGGTCCATATGAAACCATGTCGTGACACTTTAGGGGCCTCCTGCTTCCAAGTAGGGAACCATAATAGTAAGCAACGTGTGAAATAGCATACATACATAGTCATTTGACTTTTTTTAAAGTTTACATGCACGAAAAAGTGTGGGTGGTAGGTAAAAGAATTAAAACATGTTAACGGTAATTAGTAAAAAATAGATATGATAAATGATGAAATTAAAGTTTGTTTTACACTTAAGATGTTTAATGATATTGTTAACTCTATTCACAAGCATTATAATTTGTGTATTTTAATTTCAGGCGAAATGTTTTGCAAATTACTCAAGGCTTAGAAGAACCAGGCAGCATACGTTGGCAGTTAGCCATTACACTCGCCGTTGCATGGGTCATTTGTTACTTCTGTATCTGGAAAGGAGTCAAATGGACTGGAAAGGTGAACTTGTCAGATTTGATCAATATGAATTATCATTCTGTTAATGATGTCAGAAAAACACATTGGTTCAAGAAGTCTTGATACAAGATGATAAAAAACCCTATAACTCGAGCGTTTTTATCATCAAATGTCATTCTATGTTGTAGAGAGTTATAAAATGCTTAAAAACCAAAACACTTGGGTAGAATACATTAAGAGAAAAATAAGTTTTTGCAAAACAAAGTTATTTAAGTGGTGTATCAATTTATTACGGGGACGTACTACACGTTTCCAATCTTTTAGTTAAAAAGCAAAGTTTTAACATCATGTTGTTTTCATGGTTCTCCTATTGGACAGAGAGTGTTTGCCCAAGTGGGTTACTAATTTTATCTTTGTAGCTAGTAGAGTTCATAGTGAAGCCCAAAGCCTGCTTATTTGATTCTCTTACAGAAATAACAACGTTTCTTTAATTAGTGAGCTGAATTATTTTTGTTAGGAAATCAGTTTATAGTTTCGAGTGGAGTCACCCTTGATCTTCGCTTCTGGTTGGCTAGTTGATCTAACAAGAACTATTCACTGCTTTCTTGTATCAGGAAATTGAAGGTTTATTGATATTTTAAAGCCAGTGTTTGGGCTTAAAAGAACATATTTTGACATGGTTTTCAAAACTACAGATTTAGCATAGATCTTTTCCTTTATTTTCAAAGTTCTCGCATTCTAGATCCGTATGTAGCCTTTGTTCTCTGCCCCTATAAGTATTTGGCAGGGACCCTTCAGTTTCTGTGGAGTTCTGTTTTACTTTCACTTTTCATTTAGAGGAGAGCCTGTCCAAATATCAAGTATGCTTCAATTTATGTTAATTGTATTTGGTTTAAACAAATGAAGGTAGAGGTTTTTCATGATAAACGTGAAATAGTGTTGTGTTTAGCAAGCAGGTGCTCTATGCATAGAATTTAAAGCATTTTTATAGATTTGACGTGAGAGCCAGTTAAGATCTTGGATTTCCCTAATGATTTTCTTAAACAATGTTTTATAGCATTTTGCTTGGGGACAATTTCGGTTAAAATTTAATATTGTTTACATGCTATTGTAATTTACATAAGACAGAATACAAAATGATAACAGCTCTATTTTTCGTTTATAGCTCTTATCATTTTTATACACAAATACAAAACACTTGCCAGATTGTTAATTGTGTTATTGTTTAGAGTAGTGTTATAGTGTATTGTCTAATTGCAAACTGTAAATGATTATTAAACATTTTTTAATGGTGTGGATATGTGTATTTTTTCGTTTTTTCAACCTATTTATTGCAACTTATTGGGAAATATACACCCAAGCCCGAGATATGAGAATCTCCTGTTGATAGTAGGCCTAACTTCTCTGCTCTGCTGGTTATACAAAAAAAAAATACCACATCGCTAGAATGTGGATTTTGCAAAATAATTTAAAGATAACATCAAAGGTAATTTATTAATTGAAATATTACCAATTTATCAAAAAAGATAGGACAAATAAGTGTATTATGATATTTGTTTTCATTTTGTAACTCATATAGTGAAGTGCTGCTATTTTGGATAATTTTATGTTAACTGAATAATGAAGTTATTGGGGAAGTTTAAGATAAATTATCTCAGTACATCAGATGAGGTTGTAAATTTGTACAGGGATCATAATATTACAAAAAGTGCCTTCTCACCAAGCTATTACCAATTGAATGGTGATAGCCTTCAGCTGGAGATGAAATAGAGTAAAAGGTAATGTATAAAGAATTTTATTAGCACAATACATACATCAAAGTAAACATGTAAGCATAGTTAGTTCAATCAAAGTATAGGAATTATACACATATTTCAGTGCGTGCGAAAGCTCGTAAATACCTACTTATTGTTCTACTTAAATACATCTTTTAGGTCGTGTACTTCACAGCTCTGTTTCCCTATTTCCTGTTGTTCATCTTATTCATCCGTGGCTTGACTTTACCTGGATCAGGAGAAGGAATCAAGTTCTATGTCATGCCCAAAATGGATAGGCTTTTGGATTCTACAGTACGTTAAACAATAGAACATGGCCTACAATTTAATACTTTAGGACTCACTGTTTAAAGGCTAGATCCTATAAGGAATTGTGATACTAAAGTATGTTGAACACTAGAACATAGATAAACTGGATAAGCTTTATGATTCATTGTGTTAAATGCAAAAATCGAAACAGTTATGAGTCTACTGTATGTTGAGCACTAGAAAATGTATACATTTAACAAACTTTATGAGTTCAATGCGTTAAATGGTATAACGTATACATAATTTTTGATTCTATAATACGTTAAGAACCAGAATATAATGTATAAGTTTAATAGACTTCAGGACTCTAATGTGTTAAATTCTAGAGTTTATACATATTTTGCATTCTACAGTATATTGAGCACTATGTAACATGTATACATTTAATAATGTTTAGAATTCCACTGTATCAAAAACTAGAACCATTCATAGAATTAGATTTTAAGGTACTTTAAGTACTAAATCATGTTTAAGTTTAATAAACTTTAGGACTCGCCTGTGTTAAATGTTAAAACCTATACAGAGGATGGATTCTACAATATGTTGAGCACTGCAGAACATGTATGACTTTAATAAACCTTAAGGGCATTATTGTGTTAAATGCTGAACCCTATACAGAGGTTTCCTAGTAAATCAGCGGTAAATACTTAGGACTGTATTTGCACGGCGAAAGTTGTCATACCGCTATGACACTTGACAACGGATTTTATCTACTGTCAGAGAGCGCGTTGCTAGGAAATGTCATGTGACATCATATTTCGAGTGTTACTCAGAAGAGAGCATATGGATAGGAGTTATAGTTCTACGAAGTGGCACCACAGGGCACATTGCTAGGGACAGATGCTGTTACCAAGGTTCTGTAGGTGGAGAGTGTTATTATATTTCTGCAAGATTCCATACAGATTTCAACTTGTGTCAATTTATGTAAATAGTTTTTAATTTACATATTTAATTGTATTACATGTGTTTTACAAGGGCAGATAGTGTTACTAGGTGGTTTATGTTACTAAGGTTCTATAGCCGATTAGTTGAATAAGATGATGAGTTCATCATAGGGTGTCTCAGCATGTGATTACGTCATCAAATAAATTTTTCACAAATGAACAGAGTTTATAACTGAAAAAGAGTTGACACTCATATTCTTAAAAGGATTTCTAATTATAAATCAAGTGCCTGATGATGACAAAACCTTGTCGAAACGTTGTACATTTGCTGTTATGTTAAACTTATATTAAAGTTTTTCTTCATTACCCATTCAAGCCGTCTCCAGCCATTATTACTAGAATATTGTTTGAAAATCTGTAGGAGAAAATATCTGTTTTACATGTCAAATAGTCACTAATCTAGTTTATCTGAGCTTACAAAATGAAATATTACATGTTATTTTGCATTGAATCTTTTATTTCTTTATTTATATAATGACATGCATTTAGTACGATTTTTTAAAATGTATTAAATTCAGTGTTTGTTTTTCACATAATGTTACGCAAATGGAAAATATAAGCTCTAACTGTAATAAACAAATAGTAATATTGAGATAGTGTATAAATACATATATGAAAGCTTATCCAGTATTTAATCAGGTAAGATATTTATTGTATTGAAGTTTTGTTAATAAATGTTTCAGTATGCTTGTCAAAACTGTGGTTTTACACTGATGTTGTAAAGAAAATACTGTAATGATAAACAGAAAATGTGTTGGATTTATAAAATGTGAAAGAATAATCTCTTGATTTATAATTACAAGTCCTTTTAAAAATATGATTGTAAACTCTTTTTTTCAGTTATAAACTTTGTTCATTTGTGAAAAATGTGTTTGATGCTTTGATTAACTAATACGTTTAGATGTTATAGTGTATGTAAAGTGAAGACTAGAAAGATACAGAAACAAATTTTCTGTTTGTTTGTCAATTTCATAGAACCGAAAGCATTATTTGTTTTAAACTTAGGTGACAACTTCATTAGTTTTACACAAGGGTCAAGCTTTCCCAACTTGCATCAGCTGGGATGTGTCAGAATAAAATAACCTATAGAGATGAAAGAATCTTCACCATTTGTATTTATGTTAATAACACTCATCATTAAGTATCTAGAAATCGTTCGATGGCAAACATATAGCAGAAAAAATAGCAAGAATATCACTTATCAAGCCTATATACATAAGGTCAGTCAGCGAAAAACAAGCTCTAGACAAAAAATTATGAAAATATCTATAGAAAGGTAAGAATAGTAATGTTAAATATAACTATTTATGTAGATCCTTTAAATTACAGCAAAACAAAGCAACATATAAAGCTAAAAATGAAATGTAAATAAGCATCCTTAGATGTTATAAAAATATATTAGTTATACATATAAAACATCAGGAAATGCAAAAAATATGTCATGCAAATTAGATATAGAAGCAAAAACTATAATTAGTACATTAATGGTACACTAAATCATTACTGAAAAACACAGCCGCCTAACTGTCTCATTCAATATTTATAAAGATAAAATATCAGATGTGATAAAACTTTCCAGGATGTATATGAATCAGAGAAGCAAGAACTATAGAACTAATGAATTAGCAAATTGTTTTATACATAAAATTGATAATTGTAAAGATAAACTATGGTATACATTTTCCTCGTTCAAATAATGGGTAAAGTAAGTTAGTATGTGTGATAAAACTGACATTTTTAATAGTGTTATGATAGTTGTTTCATTAAAATAATTGTTTTTACTTGTCTTTAAAACTTTTATAAGACATGTCAATTAATTATTGACTGAAAATGCAATCAGCTACACTGTCTTGTTCAAATAATGCTTTTACTTTTTGGGACATATATTTAAACATTGACTACTATGTTGATGACGTAATCTCCTATTGAGACACCATACAACCAACTAGTCATCCTATTAAACTAGTCATCTATAGAACCTTAGCAACACAATCCACCTAGTAACACTATCTGTCTTTGTAATACACATGTAATATGGTTAGGTATGTAAATGAAAACTATAAGCATAAGATGAGACAAAATGAAGTCTGTATGCAATTCTATGGAAGTATAACAATACTGTCCGCCTATAGAACCTCAAACTATGATTTAACGTGACATCTCCTAGCAACGCGCTTTGTGGCAAGTATACAACTTCTGTCAAGTGTCTTGGTGGCATGACATCTTCCGCCATGTAATTGTAAGCTTAACTACTGCGGTAAATTTACTGACTTACATCCATAAAACCGGGTTTCCATTACCTGCTGTTGTGTAGCTTTGCGTTAAGACCACCACAGGCAGCATCGAATACAGAGTTGTGGTTTTATAGTATGTTGAATACTAGAGAGCTTGTATAAATTTTATACGCTTTAGGAGTTCACAGCGTTAATTTCAAGAACCTACACAGAAATTCATTCTAAACTATTTAGTAATATAAAACATGCATTGATAAGGTTTAGGGCTCATCTGTTTTAAACCTTAAAGGCTACATGCAGTTTGTATTCTAAAGTATGTTGAGAAATTTATAATATACACAAACAAAATAAAGTAAAGAACTTTATTGTGTTAAATTCTAGAATATATATATAGAGTTTAGATTTTATAGTACGTTGAACACTTTAAAACATATATAAATTTTATTAGCTTTATAACTGTATTAAATGTTATAATGCTTATAGACTTTTGAATCCGCAGTATATTGAGTACTAAAACATAATGTATAATTTATTAAGCTTTAGGACTTCTCTGTGATAAATGGTAGAATCTTTGTAGAATTTTTGATTCTAGAGTTTGTTTGTTTATAATTAAGCACAAAGCTACACAATGGGCTATCTGAGCTCTGCCCACCACGGGTATCGAAACCCGGATGCTAGCGTTGTAAGTCTGAGACATACCGCTGTGCCACTGGGGGGCGATACTAGAGTATTTTTAAGTGTATAATATAATTCTAATTCTAATGAGAACGAAGAAACGTGTTACTTTCGAATAAAATAACTTGTATGATTGGGTATTTATTAAATTTTCGTGTAATTTAACTAAACTTCTCATATTGACATAAAATTGAATATTGAATGAGCGAATTTACTAATCCACCCCTTTTAACTGAACTGAAATTCTTAAGCTAATCGACTATTAATATATTTCGATGAAAAGTTGAAACCTTTTTTCTTATGCATATGACTTAACAATGTTGTATTGTACTAATGGCACATATAAATGTTTATATTCACGTGTAGGTATGGATCGATGCTGCCACTCAGATTTTTTTCTCTTACGGACTTGGTCTTGGGTCCCTAATCGCTCTGGGTAGTTATAATAAATATCACAACAACGTTTACAAGTAAGTATCATATATCATTCTATAATAAAGTTTACAACAATATCCTACCTACTTTTTAGGTAATGAAGTGTAGTAACAGAAAGTTGTCTTACACCGTTTCTAAACAAGTAACAACTATATTAGTAACATTCACAAGTAACATACGTGAACCATGTCAATGTTTAAAAGGGCTACAAATATTCTAAACATGTTTTTCAGTAAGTATTTCAAAAATCATGTGCGATAAACGATAATGACATTTACTAATTAAACATAACTGTAATCAAAATCTTTACAAGTTCAAAACAATACATTTCATAACAAGGTTTTAGAATATGTAAAAAATAGTTGAATAACGAATGCCTTTTTATATTGAACAGTGACAATCTGGCAATTTAATATTTATAGATAATTAATAAATTAACAAAATTGCATTTAATATTATAGTGATTTTCATTTATTTACTATACAGATGAACCCTAACGAGCTGTGCAATTCAAATATTCAAATAGGACTGGGCGTGGCCAAGTTGTAAGCGTGTCGGGCTGTGTATCAAAATATTTTGAAGTTCGAAACGCATTGCTGCTGAATGCACTTCGCATTTTCATGATTATGTAATGAAGCGTGTATGATATTAATATGTAATTATGTTTGCATCTATATTTTTAATTTTTATATCATTTTCTATAGCTCACATTATTTGAAAAAATCTGAATTTTCAAACTGAGCGACACCTTATAACTGGGTCAAAAATCCCTATGATTTAGTTATAACCGTCCCATATGTAGCTCAACGGTGAGTCTGAGGGTTATAACACTAAAAATCGTGTTTCAATGCCTGTGATGGACAGAACACAGGTACCCAATTGTATATCTTTGTGCTTATCAAAAAGCAAACAAACAAAAAACGTGTACCCCGAGCTATACATCAGAAGAAATGCAGTCAACCATCAGCACTCGTCACCACGAGGGATTTATTCTGGTCTTTGAACGAAATAACAGAATTAATTGCCCATTTTTGGCGCACCTACAGTTTTGCATAATAAATTTCTGTAAGTTTTTTGTTCACTTGAATGACAATTTATGCACACAACGGATTAAACATCTAGGTCAGAGAACCCTATATTTGATGTATAGCCGTCCCTAATTTTGAACAACAGAACATAGCAGAACACTAGTCGGCAACACCCCGCTGCCTGAAGCGGCTACTCTTAGCCGGATTGACTAAAATTTATAACACATACACAGCTAAAAGTGCGAATCATTTTTGTTAGTGCCACATCTCGATCTCGAAATCCTCGATTGCCAAGTCTAATATACCAACCACTGGGGTCCCGCTCTGGCCGTTTCTGTAAGAAAAAAAAACACGACTCTGTATTTTTTTGATCGTTATTTTCTAATCTTATCCAAATATTTTACAGAACATCTTCCACGTATTCAACTTCATTCAGTTTTTGTTCAGCTATAAATAAATTATCTGATGATTCACAAGTATTGATATGTACATGCATAAGTAACCACTATCGATTCTCTAATCTAAGTACATTGTTGTGTTGTTGAATGTTGATTTAAATACAAAAACCTTCTTTACAGTTAAGGTATGTGTACTTGAGAATTATCGCATCAGTGATTGAAATGTTGTACATGTTTAAAAAATACTTATATCAGTAAGTAAACTGAAACAAAACTATCCAAACTGAATAATATATACAAAATAACTGTTATTTCAAACCATAAATAACTAGTTTGGTTCACTACAAGAAACGAAATCGTGTGCTGTGATCCACGAGGATTCGATTTTTCAAATTATAAACTTTACAAAAGTGATCTCCTGTAGAAATCTGAGAGGTTATAATTACTTTCAAATCCAAAAATTATTAAGCCCTTTATATAGCTTTGCGCGTAAATTCTGAAATAAACAAACTAAAAATGCTGGTACCATTTATTTAAATACGAAAGATAAAAAAATGCAAACTGATGCAATAATAATACTGGCCTGCGATGGTTTTATTGTCTTCAAATTTTTACATGTTGTACAGTAATTCCTGTACACTGAATCCGAAAATAATATCCATTTTTCTCCATCACCTACCGATTTTTCACAAAACATCAGAAGTAGTTTTACATAAGTGAATCATTTTCATTGAAATCGGGTCACATTTTGTTATGCTTAAAATATTGACAACCACTGGCTATAGATTTCTCTGGACCAATCGAGACGTTAGAGTTTTATCGATCGTTATAGAACCCACAAAAAACACACACATCTAGTATAAACGGTTAACAGGCCGCATGACGTGTCATTTCTGGATAGTATTTGTTTGTGCGTGCACTTTGACATTATTTTTTCTTTTGAATATTATCTATTCGTCGCTATGGCAACAAGAGGTTTTGT